GCGGTTTTTTTCCCTTTTTTTCTCCGTTTGTTTCTGGGTTTTTTCGGTTTTTTTTTCCATTTTTAATTCGGATTTTTTGGGTTTTTTTTCCCTTTTTTTTACTTTTTTTTTTCGGGTTCATTTGAATTTTTTGAGGTTTTTTCCTATTTTTTAATGTTTAATTGGGGGGTAAAAGCCGCGCTCGAGGCAGGTCACGCTCAGCGAGGGGCTGGAACCCGAAATTTCCTCCGGGGGGGGGGGGGGGGGGGCGCACGCGGGGGGGGGGGGGCGGCGGCCTAAAAATGGGGAAAATTGGGAATATTAATTAATGGGGAATTTTTGGGATTTTTTTCAGATTTTTTTCCCCATTTTTCGCCGATTTTTTTCAATTTTTTTCGTTTTTTTTTTGGGTTTTTTTTCCCTTTTTTCCCCATTTTTTTGGCATTTTTTCGAGGTTTTTTAAATCATTTTTAATGTGAATTTTTGGAGGGATTTTTTCCCTTTTTTCCTCCATTTTTTTCTGGGTTTTTTTTTCGTTTTTTTTTCCCATTTTTAATTCAAATTTTTTTGCTTTTTTTCCATTTTTTCCCCTTTTTTCCCACCTTTTTTCCCCTTTTCTTCGCATTTTTTGGCATTTTTTTTGCGGTATTTTTTAATTTTTGAATCGAACTTTTTTGGCTTTTCTCCTTTTTTTTTTTGCGATTTTTCCCCATTTTTTTCAGGTTTTTTTCCCATTTTTAATTCGGATTTTCCGGGGTTTTTTTTCCCCATTTTTTCTAAATTTTCCTTGGTTATTTTTTAATTTTTACTTTGGATTATTTTAAGTTTTTTTCCCCATTTTTCGGTTATTTTTTTGGGTTTTTTTTTTCCGCTTTTTATTTGTTTTTTTTGGTTTTTTTCCTTTTTTTTTTCGTTTTTTTCGCATTTTTTTAATTTTTAATTTGATTTTTTTGTGGGTTTTTTTCCCCCATTTTTTGTGAGTTTTTTTCATGGTTTTGGGGGGTTTTTTTTGCATTTTTTATTTCAATTTTGGGTTTTTTTTCTCATTTTTTTTGCGAGTTTTTTTTCGAGTTTTTTACGGTTTTTTTGTGTTTTTATTTTGAATTTTTTGCGGTTTTTTTCCGTCTTTTATTTCCTCCATTTTTTTGCATTTTTTTTCGGATTTTTTTCCATTTTTAATTTCGTTTTTTTGAGATTTTTTTTCCCCCTCTTTTTCCATTTTTTCTTCTGTTTTTTTTCGGGTTTTTTTCCCTTTTTAATTTTAATTTTTTGAGGATTTTTCCCTTTTTTTTTTTGCGTTTTTTTTTTCTGTTATTTTCGGGGGTTTTTGCATTTTTTTCCTCCGCCTTTATAAAAACATTTTTCCTTTTTTCTCTTTTTTCCTCAGATTTTTTTTACCTTTTTTCTCCCCCTTTTTAAAAAAATATTTTCCCTTTTTTCCTCCCCTTTTTTAACTCGCATTTTTTTTCCTTTTCTTTCCCCTTTTTTTGGCATTTTCATTCATTTCCTTTTCTTTTTTTTTTCCATTTTTGTGGGATTTTTCTCCCTTTTTTAATTTGAATTTTTTCCTTTTCTCCCCCTTTTTTTTTTCATTTCCACGAAATTTTCTCCCCTTTTTTTGTTTTTTTTTACCTTTTTTTTGCCATTTTTTCCCAATTTTTTTGCGTTCTTTTCTTTTCTTTTTTTTTTAATTTTTAATTTGGATTTTTTCAGTTTTCCCCCCCATTTTCTCTACAATTTTTTCCTGTTTTTTTTTAAATTTTTAATTTTAATTTTTTGGGTTCCCCCCCCTTTTTTTGTGTTTCTTTCCTTTTTTTTTTAATTTTTAATTTGAATTTTTTTTTTTTTAGTATTTTTCCCCTTTTTTCACCTTTTTTTTTAAATTCAGATTTTTTTTTCATTTTTCTCCCTTTTTAATCCAGATTTTTTTCACTTTTTTCCCCTTTTTTCCCTTTTTTCCCCCGGTTTTTTTTTTAGGAATCACCCCAAACCCCCCCTCCATCCTCACCGGGGCTCCTCCTGACCCTCCTGCTGACGGGCGCCGGCATCTCGGCGTGGGCCACCGTGCACGTGAACTCATCGCCGCTCTCCCAGTCGCCGACCGTCACCGGCAACTCGCTCGTCGCCGTGAACGTCCCGTTGACGTGGGGGGTCAAGCGCAGTGGGAGGGGCCTCATCTCCCCCCTGGGGCCCGGATTGGTGCCCGCCCGGCTCCACGTGACCGTCAGCCCCTCGTCGCTGGGGAGGCTGGTGGCCAAACACCTCAAACGCGGCGTCTGCGCCACGTAGAGCGACGACGGAGACGGGCCCAGCAGGAAGACGCCGACGCCGCCGGGGGAGGACGAGGAGTCGCCTGGAGGGGGGGAAGAAGAGGAGGTTGGAGAGGGTCAAAGTCGAGGGTTGGGCAAGAGAAGGTTGATGGAGGCAACAAGAGTCAAGCCGAGGTCAATGGAGACACCAAGAGTCAACCCGAGGTCAATGAAGACCCCCAAAGTC